AATTAATCGGAATCAGAGATCCGAGTTCGAATTCCGGTGGAGTTCATTATATTCCCTTAAATGCTAATAACTTGGGAAATGTACGAATCCACAGGTAAATATGGGTAAATATCAGCATAATTTGCGACCTATAGACTTGGTTGGCAACCGGCGTAGGAGAAGGACAAATTATGAATTCAAAACCTGAAAGTCTAGTATACGGACCCAGAGAGATCCGCACCATATTGAGCTGTCTTCAGCTGTCGGTCATGAGCTTGAGAAGGAGATGGGCGCCGCCACGTTATCTGAAAGTCCGCTAAAGGGATGATGAGGAACCTGTTTCTGCCCTCGCCGACTGAAGCAGTGTAGAGTTCAAAAGAATTGTCTTTGACAAAAGTTTTATCTCAAATTCAGTCAGTTAGGTGCCATGCGTGATACAAGTATGTAGCTTTCGACAGATGACTGACGAGGCAGATTTTTTCCCGCAATAGGTTACCATTTCATTCTGCTGTAGACCAGTTACCATCCAAAGCTATAGAAACCGGTCTGTCCTGCTACTTACCCGTTGCTAGGGGAAGATTCATACCTTCCCCAAAGGTATTAGCACGTAAGTGAGTGTAAGGGATTCGGCTGGAATTCGAACTTGGATCTCCGATTCATCAATCCGAGCCTCTATCCATTACTACACCGTGACTCTCAAATTGATATAACACTTAGAAAGTTTGCTTCTAAGGCCCGTCATTTTCTTCCCAGGTCATCAAACGTTGAATGGAGAGGAAACCCTTTTTATGCTGTACTGAAAAATGAAGTGATCTGGCAATGTTTCCCTGATTTGGTGCGTCAGGAACACGACATTTCGAGACGTTTCGGAGATAATTAGAAATCCTACCAGGATTCATTACTGGCGGCCGCAAACTTGACAACATAGGATATGCAGATGACATAGTGCCGATAGCAGAGACGGAAAAAAAAACTGAAAAGGCCTCGACAAATGGACGGTAGTAAAGAAAAGCGAGAAGAAAGAACTAAACGTCAACTGGAAGAAGACACAATGCATAGTTGCTACCAAAATGGTAAGCCCAAAATCAACCGATGCAAAGGGATCGGATGTCTAGCCACACTGATGAGCTGTGATACATCGAAACACTCTCTCTGTAAATGACGAGTATATATATATATATATATATATATATATATATATATATATATATTATATATATATATATATATATTACAGAAATGGACAAAGTCCGACAATTATTTTAAGAATGTATAAACGTAAAAATATCTTTATCTCTCTCTCTCTCTCTCTCTATATATATATATATATATATATATATATATATATATATATATATATATATATATATATATACACATCAACTGGAAGAAGACACAATGTATAGTTGTTTGTTACCAAAATGGTGAGCCCAAAATACAATCGATCGAATCAATCCATGCAAAGCGATCGGATGTCTAATCACACTGATGAGCTCTGATACAACGAAACAGTCTGTCTGTAAATGAGGAGTATATATATATATATATATATATATATATATAAATTATAATTATTTTTTAAATATATATATGATTCCATCACTACATAAGAGTTCTCACCCTTTATTGAAATAATTGCTTCAGCCGTTTCCATAGTAATTAATATTACAAATGAATATGTTTATAGAGCTGCGTAAATTTCAAGATTAGTTATTTCAAAAATTTCGCTTGGAGATGAAACAGAGCTTGATACTTTATTTTTATAATTAAATTGAAGTTATTAGCTCCTGTTTTTGAAACATGAGAACTCTTATGTAGCGATGGAATCATATTTTTAAGCATTAATTATAATTTAGGATCTACTTGTGTATCGAGCACTGTTTTGTAAAAATAAAAACAATGATAATAAAGAACTTCGGATTATTAACCTAACGGTTCTTTCCTATTTTTCTATATATTTCCACACACACACACACACACACACACACACACACATATATATATATATATATATATATATATATATATATATATATATATATATATATATATATATATTCCGGATGTAACTGTAATATTGTCCAATTGTTAGATTACGTTTTGAACCGATTTATCTTAGAAATGATTAAAGATATCTTACTGGAATTCTCCGAGCTTTTCATAACATTATTGGACTCTACTTTGGACAATAAGAATGTATTTAGCTCTAAGTTAAAATGATGATCCCTCTTCCTGTTGTGACCTCCTGATCCAGTTTTCCCCACTTTTTTTAAAACTTATTCACCGTTCTCTTGATAGTTCTTGAATGGACTCTTTGACAGAAGCCAGAGTATGGATTTTGGTACCATTACAAAAGGCCTGTATGCTCTTTTTCCTCTCACCATTGCTCCGTTGGGAAGACATAAAGGGGCTGACACAAAACGATTTTAATATGTTCTCTTTCTACCTGAATAACTCAAATGGTTTTTCTGCGACTTATGGCAAATGGTGTCAATATGGTTAAACGTCTTATCTGAAATCTTGGAAAAAAGAAAACCAGTTTAGAGGGTTTTTTTTTTTTTAGATATTAAACATTTTGTCGGATGAATAATTATCCCATCCTGTTACGTGATTTGGACAATTTTGCTGTTACACCCAGTATATATATTTCTAAAGAATTACTGGATTTGTTTTTAATACATTTTATTACTACAAGTATTATTTTTACCCTTGTTTGAAATAGACGTCTGGTTTTATTGTCATGGCGTTGATAGAAAACTCAGAAAGCAAACCGTGGGAAATTCGACAGAATATTAAAAAAAGAAAACGATTAAACAACAATTTGAAGGTAAAATCTGCATATTGCTCGATTGATTTGCTTTTTACGGCTTATCAACACTTTGCTAGTTATTTAAAGCGATTTTCGGATGGTAAGTATTTTTTTGAAAATAATAATGATTAACAGATACAAGCTCTACTATTTAACCCATAGCTGGGGCGAAAAAACTTAGATTCTTAGCTTTCCCAAGAGTATTTGCGTGTAAGTGAATGTAACGAACCGGACTGGAATTTTCAATTCTAGACCGTTATCCATTACACAGCTCGCATATCCAAGCTTACAGCGCCTGGTTTTCCTATACGGTCACCCATCTAAGTACTGAACAGTCTCGATGTTACTTAACTTCGGTGATTGTACGAGAGCCAGTGTTTCAACTTGATATGGCCATAAGCCTCCGGAATTTGTTTACAGATATGCATTAATAAAGGAAACACGGTAGAGTAATGGATTGCGGCTCGGATTGAGGAATCGGAGAGCCGAGTTCGAATTCCAGTCGAATCCATTACATTCACTTACGTGCTAATAACCTTGGGAAAGGTATGAATCCAACTCTTCTGGCTTGAAGAGGCACGGTAGAGTAATGGATTGCGGCTCGGATTGAGGAATCGGAGAGCCGAGTTCGAATTCCAGTCGAATCCATTACATTCACTTACGTGCTAATAACCTTGGGAAAGGTATGAATCCAACTCTTCTGGCTTGAAGAGGCACGGTAGAGTAATGGATTGCGGCTCAGATTGAGGAATCGGTGAGCCGAGTTCGAAATCCAGTCGAATCCATTACATTCACTTACATGCTAATACCCTTGGGAAATGTATGAATCCAACTCTTCTGGCTTGAAGAGGCACGGTAGAGTAATGGATAGCGGCTCGGATTGAGGAAACGGAGAGCCGAGTTCGAATTCCAGTCGAATCCATTACATTCACTTACGTGCTTATACCCTTGGGAAAGGTATGAATCCTCTTTTTCTCCCCACAGATGTGGGTAATATAGCAGGTCTAGGAGAAGGAAACTCAGAATTCAAAATCAGCCTGGAGAGGGTTAGGCACCGTCAGTCTATCTTGCCCAATGAAACACCACTTCTACTGAGGCCACAATATATGTGGTGCTTCTTATGTGCCACGGGATTCGCGATCGATCGCTTGCGATATATATGTAAGATAGTCTGATATCATATACAACATATAGATGTATAGATATTTATTTATAAACAGGAATATAGGACGTGAGAGAGAGATGATATTGAGAAAAATGAAAATATACAAGTGTTCCTCACCTCCAAACGTCACTTGTATTTTCTGCCTTCGTATTTCGACACCCTCGTCTTTTTATCTTATTTTATTTTATTCGCGCGTCGATCGATCCACTCTTCGCTGCACTTTATCACGGCCTTGACCCATATCCTCTTCTATGTCTACCCTGTTCTCTCCGGCTCGAAGATAGCTGGTCGCTTTCTCGCCGTTCCGTCTCTTTCTCGCTCCAATTCACATCACCCCAGATTAATCTGATCGCCGTTAGTTATTGTAAGAGGCTTGCTTTTCTTACAGTTGCTCATTCTATTGACGAGACATGCGCTTTTTGTCAAGCTTTATGGCAAAGTGGTTAGAACGTCGGCTTTATCATCACGAGGCCGAAGTTTGAATCTCACCAGTGGTTGATTTGTCTGGAACTGGAAAGTAATTTCTTGTGTTTATTGGCCTAGGGAGATGATCCCAGCGTGATCTGATCAATTTGATCTCTCCTTCCCTCCATCCCCTCTCTCTCTCTATATATATATATATATATATATATATATATATATATATATATATATATATATATATATATATATATATATATTTCACATCGCTATATAAAATATAATAAAAATATATTTTGCTTTACGTTCTATCTAGCACCTTTTTTTTTTTTTTAAAGTAAATGCTAAGAACAATGGATTCTTATTTTATCTATCTGTTCTTTCTCCTTATATCTATATATATATATATATATATATATATATATATATATATATATATATATATATATATATATATATATATATATATATATATCAATGTGTGTGTGTGTCTGTCTGTGTTTGTGTTGATATAATAGGAAAAAAACTGTTAGATGGATGATCCTAAGTTCTTTAGTATTTTTCTTATTATTTTAAAAAAAAACAGTGCTCGATACAAAAGTAGAGCCTAAATTATAATTATTTTTTAAAAATATGATTCCATCGTGACACAGAAATTACTTTGTTTCGAAACTGGTAATCCATATTCAAGTTTAATTTCAATATTAAACCTTAACTGTTGGATGACTGGTTCATTCTCAAGTGATGTCTGGAATAACTAAGCAACGAAATGTTTTACTCATTTATAGTTTTGAAATGGAGGTGTAACCTGGTGTTATTTTTTTTATTATGAAGAGGTCACTGCTTTGATGAAAGTAGGAATGATTGTTATATGTCAAGTTTTTGGAGTCGTATAAGGTTTTTTTTTTTTTGTCTGGCTACAATGGCTAATTTTATAAGGCTCTATTGTTTGTTTTTTTATTACTATCTTGATAGTAATAATGATTAAAAATATAAGAAATTTTGAACGCTAAAACATTTGGATGAGAGATCGGAAAATATGTCCCGTTTGTATACACCAAAAAGTTCCTTTTGAGTTCATGTGAAGTGGGATACAAAACGAAAACAAAAAAAAACAACATATGTATATTTCATTTAATCCCCCACCGACACATTTCCAGTGAACTTGATTTTCCCCCTCCTCATCCTATCACACCTCACATCGTGGGCTTATTCATTCGTTTTTGTGTTTGTTTTTTAATATAGCGTTCATAATTTTTTTTTAAATAAAACGTTAGGAAATCAATAAACCAAAATCGCCTGAAGATACGGAAAGGTTGAAACCACGGTTTACTATAGCTAGCTTGATAGATAGATAGATAGATAGATAGATAGATAGATAGATAGATAGATAGATAGATAGATAATGAACAGAATGAAATAGATAGATAGATAGATAGATAGATAGATAGATAGATAGATAGATAGATAGATAGATAGATAGATATGAATAAGCTGTGATAGATAGATAGATAGATATGATCAAAATGAGATAGATTTGAACAGAATGAAATAGATAGATAGATAGATAGATAGATAGATAGATAGATATGATCAGAATGAGATAGATCTGAACAGAATGAGATAGATAGATAGATAGATAGATAGATAGATAGATAGATAGATAAACACGATCAGAATGAGGTAGATAGATAGATAGATAGATAGACACGATCAGAAAGAGTTAGATATGATCAAAATGATATAGATAATTATGATCAGAATGAGATAGATAGATAGATAGATATATAGATAGATAGATAGATAGATATGATCAAAATGAGATAGATTTGAACAGAATGAGAGAGATAGATAGATAGATAGATAGATAGATAGATAGATAGATGCTGTAAGTGAAAAAGTGTACTAGCTGCTACAGTCGGGAGGAATATAATGTCTGCGAATATTGAAAATCAACTTTTGGATTAAAGATTCTCGCTCGTTCCGAACTGAGACGTCTCATATAATTCCCGCTTCCGAACAGGACCATAGGTAGCTTACTGGAGAGATGCCGAGATAGAAACGTCTAAGGATTTGTAGTGAAGTCGGCACAAAATAGGACGAGGAAAAAAGAGGAAGGAAAAAATGGGCGAACGAAATAATGAACGAAAGATGAAAAACAAACAAACAAAAAAAGCGGGAAAAAAAGAGCGGGAAAGAAAGAGCGCCAGTCTATCAATCACCGCAGTTTTTCAACACGTCGGATATTTTTACCATCAAACTTATCCTAGCGTCGATTTCCTATGCCACACAGGAGGTTTATGTCTACTTACTGCATCTTAGGCAATGTGAAGACTGCCTTTATCGGCTGTAACAGCTATCTGAAAGGGAATTAGACTGAAAGTTGCCAGTGTTATCAGCAATAAGAATCTTTACATATGTATTTATACACATACACATAGTATAGGCACATATACACACATAAACGTACACACACACACACACACACACACACACACACACACACATATATATATATATATATATATATATATATATATAAATAAGTATGTGTAAAATATAATCTTCATATTAAAGGCAAGTGGAGTTATATTTTATTTTATGGATGGCTTGAGATGGATATAAGATTATTATTGTCATTATTATTATTATTATATCTGCTTGCATACGTGTGAGCAGACAACCAAGGAAGTTTCCAAAATTGAGCACGGGAAACATTATAAATGCAAGAGTACAACATTCAAAGCATGGTTAAACAAACAGACACACCTACAAACAACACAGAGATGCATGTACACACAGACACACAGACACACACATACACACACACACAACACACAGATGCATGTACACACACATAATTACGTAATTGGATATTTTCATATGCCTTTAGTATATATATATATATATATATATATATATATATATATATATATATATATATATTAATTACTATAACCTGTTTACCGGGTGTAACAGCAAAATTGTCTAATTGTTAGATTAAGATTTGAACTGCTGTATTTTAGAAAGGATTAAAGATATTTTACTGGAATTCTCCAAGGTTTTTAGAACGCTATTGGACTCTACACTGAACAATAGGAATGGTATAATTACTTTCCAAGTTTAAGAGAAAAATATTGATGAAGTCGGTCATAAACGAAAATGCCATGTTCATCATTAATTAATCATAGCTATGGATCGGAAGACCATGAAGGACTGATATAAAGTTTAAATACACACACACACACACACACACACACACACACATATATATATATATATATATATATATATATATAATTTAGAATCTTTTTCAAACTTATTCAAGAAGATTTTTTTCCCTCTCTACGCTTCTAACCTTCTGTCCTAGAAAAGCAAGATGCCTCACAAGTCTCACGTACGATTTGTCTTCAAGTTTTGTTCTTTTTTCATTGCTCTTTGGACTATCATAGCTGAAGGTTCTCTCTCACGTGCCAAACGTCTGATGGTTTGAGTTGGATATTTTTTATTGATCTCTTTAGCTCTAAGTAGAAATGATGATTCCTCTTCCTGTTGTACACTTTTTTTAAAAGCATTACGCCCCAAGCAAGGCGGGAATGCCACTAGCACGCAAGAGGCACAGAGAGTGAGAGCAAGAATAAACAGGAGTGTTTGAGGAAAGAATAAAGAGAAGTACAGCTATAAGGACCACGACATCAAAAGATGTCGATTGACATTACATTTGAATATTTGAAGATTATAGCTATCAGGGAAATAAGCAGGAGGAAGGCAGTTCAACTGTCGGAAAGTGCCAGAGAAGAAGCTGTTGGAGTAGAAGAGGCGGTTACATCAAACCGTTTCGACAGTGAACGGGTGGGACCGATATACCAACCTAATAGCACGCTTAAATTCATGCAGGTGAGGCACCAGTGAATACAGCTGGCCAGATCAGTTGCCATAAAAATATTTGTAGAAAAGGCAGAGGGAAGCCACATTACGTCTGTGAGAAAGTGACTAGAGTCGAGATGCCAAATCAAGACCTATCACATTGCATATCCTTCTCAGGATTTTGTTGCGGACCTCGAGATGAACAGCGGGGTCACTAGACTATATATGGCAGCAGTATTCAATGAAAGGACGAATGGTTGATTTGTGGATTTGAAGGATGGACTCAATCGAGAAAAACATTCTGACCTGACACAGAAACCCAACTTTCCTTGCGGTAGATGAAGCTATTGATTCAATGTAGTTGTTCCAGGTCAGGTCAGTGGAAAACGTGAAGCCAAGAAGGCACAGAGAGACGCTCTCTTGGAGTTGAGAATCAGCCATTCTGAAAGGAGGCAGGGTGAGTTCTCTACGATGGGTGAATGAGAGCGTTTTCGTTTTGGAGACATTAAAGTTTATAAGCCATTTCCAGCCCCAGTCAACCATATATTGGAGGTCTATTGGTCCCGAGCGCTTTCGGTTGCATTGTTAACTAGGAAAATAAAAACACCAAATTACTTATAAACTCTTAAAAAATATATCTAAGCATATTTTCAGAAATAACATCTCGCCTACAAAATCAAAACCATACCAGACCAATATTATGAATTCAGATGACCCATAGCGAAGAGTGTTCGCTTCACCACTCGCCTGACCTTGATACGGTCCCATATAAACCAAGATTAAATCGTACGAACCTCAATACACAGTGTACTAGTTGAGAACACGGATGTGATACGCAAACCGTCATTGCAAAAATCTTTTAAAAACCATATATCGAAGCCTTAGTAATAGTAATTATGAACACGGCCACAATGTACTGGCCGTATTTGGAACTTAAGAATATGTCTGATTTCAGTAGTTCTTATTTCCCGTCTACATTAGCACTGACACATCATATAATCCTTGGTAATGGATAAAACCTTAGCGGAAAGCGCTCGGACACAATAAATTTTCATCATTATTTTCGCTCGCATACGCAGCTGGAGAGACACAAAGTTTAAAATAAAAATGGGGCGTCTATTACAAATACGAGTATTCACTACAGTAACGTTTTAAGTAATACAAATATCGGATTAAAAAATAAATCTATTAATTCTTTAGGGATTAGTTTTTATGCTTGTTTACATGTACGTATTTATCATATTCAAAATTTACTATCGTAATCACTTCTGGCAAAGTTCAGCGCGATTTATGATAATCAAGACACGGCTCAGACATTTTTTTAACCCTAAAATGGCGGGAAAAGTTTACATTAGCATGAACGCCAGGAGGATGAAGGAATAAACGAGAAATGTAATTTTGTGAAAATTAATGCCTATACAAAAAGCCGAAAGAAATTATATTTCCACTCCTTTAGATTAAAAACAAAAAAAAAAACAAAGAGAAATCAAACAAATGATACATTTTTAAATTTAACGTTATTCCATGTAAAATGAAGTCGTGCATTCTTTGTGAAATATCCTTATCATTCCTCCGTCTTTTCTCCTCAAGAAGTACGCAGACAGACATAGAAATGTCTTCGGCTTCTTCTTCCAGATGCATTTGATGGTAAAACAAACAAAAAAATAGTCCAGGAAATACTTAAGCTTATGAAGCTTGGCAAATATTAACCTCATGCAACCTAAAGTGATTCTCTGCTTAAGTTTCTCCAGGATTGTAGGAAGAGGGAGATACAGACCATTACATTTCACTTAGTCCCATCGAAAAAATCAAATGGTGTCAAATCAGGCGAATTTGGTGGCCATTTCAACAGCATTTTGTCATTATCACTGGCTAGCCCGATCCATCTTCTTGTTAGAATCTGATAAGTTCGCACTGAGGAACGCGAGAATGTTACGCAAGACATGCTACAGTGAGATTAACAGGAGCTGGACTACCGACTTGACGTGAGTAAACATTTGTGAAGCTTTGTGATTGCTTTGTTTATGTTTCGAATACGATAGTGGGGGGGGGTCAAGAAAAAAATACCAGAATGAGTAAGTGGGCTTTCCGTAAAAGTGAAAAAAAAAAGAAGCCTTGCTCTACAGTGAAGCTTTCTGTAGCCAAGTGGTAAAACACGCCAGAGCAAAACTTTTTTTTCCTATAAAGGAGGACACAGTTTCGATATTTGTCGGAGAGGACATTCGGTGCTGAAATGTTCTGCGGCTGATAAGGAAATGCTCTCCAACAAAATTTTGTTTGACTATTTAGATAAGATTTTACCAAGTGTGTTGGCTGAATACATTTAGGCATTACCTTGTATCATAACCTGTTGTGGGCATGCGCCAAACTAGCCAGTAATGAGAGAAAATAAATCGTTGTATACAGCCTGACTTATATAGAAATCTAAAGGGAGATAACTTTCTTGAAGTTCAGTATAAATAATCCAATGTGTCTGCCATTGTTGCAAACGATACTTCACAAGAGATTTCAAATAACCATTCGTTTCGTACTGGAACAAACAGGTTGATTCAAATGCAGAAATCAATTGCTCACCAATCAGTTCTCGCAGAGGTTGTAAATTAAATAATGGAAAAAGAAGATACATTAATGTTTGTTCACTTGTCTGCAATGACGTTGTTCAATACAGCCATTTCTTCTTCGTCGTTGTCTTCTTTCTTTCTTTCTTTCTTTCTTTCTCTTACAACTCTGATATATTTCTTTCTTTCTTTCTTCTCACCTAGATTTTTATCATCCTACTACGACGTCTTCCTGCTTTCTGTCTTTTCTTTCTTTCTTCTTTCTTTCTTTCTTATCCTACTTATCTTATCCTGTTTCCCTTTCTTTTTTCTTTCTTTCTTTCTTTCTTTCTTTCTTTCTTTCTTTCTTTCCACCTCTTCTTCATTCGCTTTGCATATCGATTTTTCTTTCTTTCTTTCTCTTTTTTTCTCTTTAACACACAGTCGTATTGTGTTTCTTACTCTTTCTTTCTTTCTTCATCTGGCAATCTCTCAAAAGACCCCCTCTTAATCTTTCTTTCTTTCTTTCTTTCTTTCTTTCTTATCCTACTTTGATGTTTCCCTTTCTTTCTTTTTTCTTTCTTTCTTTCTTTCTTTCCACCTCTCTTTCATTCGCTTTGCATATCGATTTTTCTTTCTTTCTTTCTTTCTTTCTTTCTTTCTTTCTTTCTTTCTTTCTTTCTTTCTTTCTTTCTTTCTTCTCGCCTAGATCTTTCTTTATTCCCCTCCTCCGTTATCTTAATCCTTTCTTTCTTTCTTTCTTTCTTTCTTTCGTTTCTCTTTCTTTCTTCCTTTTCTTCCTCTAACTTTAATCCTTTTTTATTTCTCTTTTTATTTTTCTTTCATTTCTTAATTTCCTAAATATTCTTTGCAATGATAGTGTTCTTTTTCTTTTTTTTACAATGTTTGTTTCTTTCTTTCTTTGTTTCCTACTTTCTTCCTTTCTTACTTTATCTATTTTTCTTCACCTAGCTTTAAGTTTTTTCTTTTCCATTGCTTAAATTTTACTATGCTCTTTTTGCTTTCTTTCTTTCTTTCTTTCTTTTTTTCTTTCTTTCTTATCAGTCATTAGTCTTCTATCTTTGAATTTCTTTCTTCTTTCTTGGAATTTAGTTTCTTCTGTCTCTTTTTTCTTTCTTTCTTTCTTTCTTTTTTTCTCCATTCATTTAGGTTTTGCTTTCTTTCTGTCGTTTTTCATTCATTTAGGTTTTTTTCTTTTTTTTTCTTTCTTATCAGTCAATATTCTTCTACCTATCTTCATCTCGACTTTCTTTCTTCTTTCTTATTTGTTTTTTTCTGTCTCACTTTCATTCATTCATTCTTTCTTTTTTCTTCGTCTTCCTGTATCTTTCCTTCAACGACAATGTGTATTTTTTCTTCTTTCGCGCATGCGTAATCGGTCTCTAAACAATAGCGGACGCAAGATCAATAAGTTTTAGTGAAAATCGAAACAAAAAGGGGCCTTATCCGAAAGATCAATTGAAATTTTTAGGGAATATAATGAGGAAATCAGGCTTGGAAAATCTGATACTAACAGTACAGATTTAAAACAAACGTTACAGGGGAAAACAATGCGTAACTTATCTAACGAGCTTGAATAAACGGATAGCAGATCAAGGCTTATGACAGATAACAGAACGGTAACATTTATTAACAGCTACAAAATACAGGTGATGGTTCACCACTGTTTCTTTTATTTTTCTTTCGGTGAAAGTCTTGGGGAGGGCAGGTTTACATTCTAAAATAGATTTTCATTCGAAAATGGCTACTTAAAATTTCATTGAAACGTTTTAGGGACCTGTGAATTGACTCTTTCCTTAAGAGAATAGACACTGAATACCGTTCATTTTGGCGTGAATCTGTTACTGTGCCAAAAACAAAATAAATAAAACTGAAGATTGCATTTTCCAGGCCTCTTTGGAAATGTCTTGAAATACTAGAGAGATAAAACAAAAGCCAACTATTAGAATTGGTTTTCTTCTCTCCTTGAAATGGCACCACGCAAAAAAAAAAAAAAAGAAAAAAAACAGACTGTCAAAATATATAAATGATCTACCTGGTCAGACATTCTGATTATACGCCACAACGCCTCCTACCGGTGTAGTTTCACACACAACCAAGAGAATGTTTTGTAGTTCTCTGTTTTCCTAACATTTCGACGGTGATTGAAGTTAAGTTCACAACATTTATATTTGCCTCCTCATCATTGGCAATGAGCTAAAGAAAACGATCCAGATTTGAGTTTTTTCCGTACCTCATATCGCATAGAGGTCACAGTCGAACTTTCGATTCTTCTATCTGTTGTAGCATACCTACAGATGATAATATTATTCCCATAAATACAGTAGTAAATACTGTATGTTGGTCTGAAGTCGGAGATTCGTCTCCAGCTGTGCTGGTCAAACTCTCTGCTTCCGGACAGAAAAGATCTTCAGTCGACGGTATGTCGAATGGCAGAGTCTCATCTCTGTAAACAGCTACCCGACCCTGTTTTATACGATTTATACGAGGAATTTATGGCCGAGCCTACGGGCTCGGATATCCCCACATTAAATTCGTCCTTGTGCCACATCTGATCGCGTGGGGCGGTTGATAGTTATCCTGTATTTGGAGATTTGTCTCCAGCTATGCTGTTCAAACTCTCTGCCTCCGAGTAGAGAGGATCTTCAGTCGAGGAAGGACAGATTCTCGTCTCGGGAAACAGCTACCAGACCCCGTTTTAGACGGTCTCTACGGGAAATTTTTGGCTGAGCCTACGGCATGGATAGTCAACATTAAATTAGACCTTGTGCTACATCTGACCGCGTGAGGCTGTTGGTATATATCTTGCAGTTGGAGATTGGTCTCCAGCTGTGCTGGTCAAATTCTCTGCCTTCGGGCAGAGAGGATCCCCAGACCATGGTATGTCGAAGAGCAGACTCTCGTCTCGGAAAAGAGCTACCCGACACCCATTTATATGGGGTCTACGGGGAAATTTTGACCGAGCCTATGGGCACGGATACCTCACATTTAATTCGGATTTGTGCCACATCTGACCGCGTGGGACGCTTGATAGATATCCTGCATTTGGAGATTCATTGTGGAATTCACTTGACTTATTTCTAGCAGTTGACTACTTCTTCTACATGTCGCTGGCGAATCTTATATGTGTTGCTCTTGTCCTAAGTATTATAGTTCATTACCAACCTTCGTTTGATTGTTCTATTCAGTAACCTTCCTTAGGTTGCAACACTATCGTAATCACTTCCGGTAGAAATCGGCGCGATTTATTGTAGACGAGATGCAGGCATTGTTTTGTGACCCTAAATCGACGGGTGTTGATTTCAATCCTTTTAGAATGACTGAAAATAACACCCCCCCCCTTTGAATGTATAGACAAAACATACAGATGCATGCTGGGATTTCTTCCTACCCAATAAGATCGGTCACTTCTCGGCCTCCCCAGACTTAGTTCTGTTCTTTCTTGTCTTGAAGCCAGAATGCTTCGATCGCTTGACCGTATCCCCTTTTTTATGTTAACACCATTCTTAGTTTGTGAACTTTTTGTCTTATTATTGTTGCTTTGTCATGCATATATTGTTTGTTCAATATTATTTTTTCCCTGTTCTTTTCTTTCTTTTGTTATTGTCTGTTGCAATCTTTGTCAATTCCTTTTGGTGAGCATTTCTTCTAATTGCATTTAACCATGGCCAATTGCTCTGCAGCAAGAAACGTTTGCATGTCAGACAATTAAAAAAAATGAGAAGTTTAATTTCGTGAGAGTTAGTTTATATGCTTGTTTACATGTACGTATTTATCATATTCGAAATTTACTATCGTAATCAATTCCGGTAGAATTCAGAGGAATTTATTATAATCAAGACGCTGCTCGGACATTTTTCTAACCCTAAAATGGCGGAAAAGGTTTAACTTAACATACACGCCTGAAGGGTAAAAAATAAACGAGAAATGTAATTTTGTGAAAATTAATGCCTATACAAAAAGCCGAAAGAAGTTATATTTCCACTCCTTCAGATTAAAAACTAAAGAAAACCAAAGAGAAATCAAAGAAATGATACATTTTAAAATTTAACGTTATCCCATGTAAAATGAAGTCGTGCATTCTTTGTGAAATATCCTTATCATTCCCGCGTCTTTTCTCCTCAAGAAGTACGCAGACAGACATAGAAATGTCTTCGGCTTGTTCTTCCAGATGCATTTGCTGATAAAAAATAGTCCAGGAAATGACTTAATCTCATAAAGTTTAGCAAATATTAACCTCATGCAACCTAAAGTGATTCTCTGCTTAAGTTTATCTAGGATTGTAGGAAGAGGGAGATACAGACCATTACATTTCACTTTGTCCCATCGAAAAAATCACATGGTGTCAAATCAGGCGAATTTGGTGGCCATTTCAACAGCATTTTGTCATTATCACTGGCTAGCCCGATCCATCTTCTTGTTAGAATCTCATAAGTTCGCACTGAGGAATGTTACGCAAGACATGCTACAGCGTGTTTGGCAGTAGCTGGACTACCGACTTGACGTGTGTCAACAATTGTGAAGCTTTGTGCAATCGGTTATAAAATCTACATCTCCTTGAATATATGGTTCAAATTTTGACAAATAAATATGTTATTGTTCAGCATGAAGCCGATTTAATATCATTTGCTGGGCCATGAAGTTACTCAGATATTCACACTTTAAATGATGTCATTTTTTTTTTTTTTTTGCGGTAAGGTGCGGAAACCCACTATATTGGAATTAAGGTTGTCGGTACCAACCTTCGGGGTCGTTAGAAAGTTCTAAGTGTTTGGTGAAGAAAAAGAATGTCGTAAGGAATTTTTGCTTGGCACCAGAATGATTTTGGCGTTTGGTTTTCTGCAATATCTCTCGAACAACATTATGCTAATTAGATCTAATTTACAAAGAATAATATTAAAATAAATAAGAGTTATATACGAACGTATTATTTTATTGTCTTTTTCTGTACGAAATCACAGTGTAAATATTTTTGTCTTGTTGACATTATCAGACAGCTGATGTCTGCAGAAACAAATTTTCTAGATGGCGATATTTTATCTTATAAAAATCGGGATGCATATGTGTTGTGGTGAATTAGTTGTTTTAAAATTTTGTTGTCTGATCTTGTAAGTGACTTGTCCTGCACAGATAAGGTCGGATACTACCAAATTCTCGACTCTTTAAGTCGAGAATTTGGTAGTATCCGACCTTATCTGTGCAGGACAAGTCACTTACGAGCTATACCCGACAGCCAACGTCTACAGGGGTCAATGCTCTAAGCTTAGTGATATAACGTTAAGACGTTCGTTTGGTGACGTTTTATCTAATGGCATCGAAGTAAAACTTACATTCTTGTGTGTTTTATAGTAGTCAATTTCTTGTTTTGAATTTGTGTTCATGCTTAACACCAGTAAAGAAGTGTGTTTATACGGGCGCGGAGCCAATGGGCAGGTGGCTGATACACAAAATTCGGGAAACCTGGCTTTAGTTTTTCTGCCTCACTAATATAATTTGGCGACGATATAAGTTAATTTCAGTTGTGATTCCACGTCTACAAGTAGTAACACTGTTTTTTTTTTTTCGTCTGCTGCAAAGGTTATCTTGCCTGAGATCTTTGGCGTGCGGAGAGAAAAAAAAACGAAAAAAAAAATGTGATCATAATCTAAACCTTAAAAAAAAAAACTGCACGCCAAGTGAGCGTGTTTCCTCGCAAAACCACATTGCTGAAGACAGCAGAAGCTCTACGTGATAGTGTCGAAAACGCTGGTGCATTTTGACAAATACAAAGATCTCCCGACAGTTTGGTACAGGCGGGAACTGGGGCGTATAGACGTCTGTGCTGATGGGAGCGGGCTTGTTTTGCAAAGAAAAGACCTGCATGTTTACAGGGAGACAGAAAGTTGTTTTTTGTTTATTTAATATATTTATATTTTGTTTTATTTATTTATTTATTTATTTGAGCGAGATTTTAGTTTATTTTGGCGGGAAGTCTTCCGATCTACATTCTCAGGGAAGAAAGATGCATCACGCAAAATCTCAATAGTGCCTTCTATCGGTCTAAATAAAAACTAGCTGCGCTGGTTATTAACTAATACAAAAAACCATCTTTTCAGAAAGATAAATACATTCCTACACCTACAGATTAAATTTTCTATGAATATACTACACAAAAATATGTCATTTCGATATATACACATTTAGCGTATTTTACATACACTAAATGTTTATACATTTACACATCTAAGTTCACACATATCTATCTATCTATCAGCCTTCATCTCTCGCACTACGTCTACACATATCTATCTATCTCTCTATCTATCAGCCTTCATCTCTCACACTAAGTCTACACATCTATCTATCTATCTATCTATCTATCTATCTATCTATCTACATAAGTCTACACATTATATATCTGTATGTCTGTGTATCTATCTATCTATCTCTATATATAACTGTCTGCACATTATCTATCTATCTGTCTCTCTCTCCCTATCTATCTATCTATCTATTTCTGTCTGTTCATACCAATCGATCTATTTATCCATTTCAGTCTGTTCATATCTATCTATCTATCTATCTATCTATCTATCTATCTATCTGCCTGTCTAAGTCTACTGTTATCTATCTATCTATCTATCTATCTATCTATCTATCTATCACGTTCTCTGTGACAAAGCCGGATCTAAATCATACCGGACGGTCGTATCTCTTACAAAGGTGGATTATTTTATTAAATATTCTTTTTTTATTAAATTTTCTCGGGTGCGAAGTCCGATAGACTTCATTCAAACTGTTCAAAAACCAAGGCGTTTACTCAAAAACAAAACAAGTAACTCCTAAAAATAACCTTTGCATATATATATATAAAAGAGGAAGATCGGTTATGTGAAACCTAGATAGGTATTCCTGGCTCTTTAGGATTTCTTTTATTTATCATTGCTCTATTTACCGTATTGAGCAATCTATATTTTAGCTTTATTCGTCGCTTGGGGTTTTTCCTTTGGACTAAAAACCTAAGGCACTTGGCGATTGATTTCGCCCTGTTCGGATGTTTCGAGTTCTTTCTTTTTTTTTTCCATTTTTTTTCCTCGGGTACCAATTTGTTTTGATAGACTTGCAAGTTGCGCTATCCTAGGGTTTTTACCAACCGAGTATTCCTATTAGTATAATAATTATATTATATATATATATATATATATATATATATATATATATATATATATATATAGCTAAGACACTAAAGGCAACATCGAAAAACAGTCAACAAATATTCTTGTGACGATGTCCCGAGATCCTGGCTGTTGCACAATATGTGGACCTTTATGCAGGTCACTAGAGGGATGACAATGTCACATACGACATAAACATAAAAACTGAATGACGTTGTCGGATCAGCATGAGGCGAAGGCGTCGGCAGGGTCAATCATCATCATCATCATCATTAGTATCATCATCATTTTCTTTCAAATAATTTTTATTTTCCCAAGTACTTTCAATCTCATCTGAGACCATCTTCAAGAGGTTAAAATATATATGAATATTTATACGGTAGCTCCGTAAATTCAAAACATATTTTTCGCTGTTCGTTTACAGAGTTTCAAAATCAAAAGTTTTCTCTTGGTTAGGTAACTTTGTACCGTTTATTTAACCAAGCCTGCATGAATGAAAATATCCAGCCTATATTTTATATATATATATATATATACAAGTGATCATTTGGGCTATTTAGGATAATCATATAGCAATTCGTTGAGCCTAGAATAATCCTCAACAGGATGCAGAAAGCACTGGACGGCCGTTTCGTCCGAATTAGGACTCATCAACAGTCCGCGTCTGTTACCGAAAAATCGAACCCGCACCGTTTCGATAAAATGCAAACGTCATACCAACTGTACCATGGGCCTCGGTGACGAAGAAGACACAAACTAGACATGATATAGTGCCGCTACTCACTCAGTTCCGCAGCGATACTCATCCAAGTATTCAGATAACCTTAGAACAGTGCCCCAAAAGCCACGGCTGCTTATTGACTCTTAGCCGCTCCTCACGAGCATTAGCTGGGTCAAGCAAGGATATACAAGTGATTATTTGGGGGATATAGTGTAATCATATAGTAATTCGTCGAGCTTAGAATAATCCTCAACAGAATGCAGAAAGCACTGGGCAGCCGGTTTGCTCTATCTGCGACTCATCAGCAGTGTGTATCTACTACCGAGAATTGAACCCCGACCGCTTTGAAACAACGCAAACGTCATAGCAACTGTACCAGGTTCGATTCTCGTTAGTGGATGCACACTGCTGATGAGTCCTAGATAGAACGAAACTGCCGTCCATTGCTGCTTTCTGCATTCTGTTGAGTATTATTCTAGGTTCGATTCTAGGTATATATATATATATATATATATATATATATATATATATATATATATATATATATATATATATATATATCTTTTGAGCCAGAGATCTACCTTCTAATTTTCACTTGAATGGATCAGCCAGGTTGGACGGAAGACCCATTTAAGTGAAACTCAGGTAGCTAGTTTCTGGCTCACTCGGATTTTTATACTATGCTCTACTTAGTGTAATGAGCACTTTACGTTTTATTCTTATTTTAATCGATTTGATTTTTTCTTTTGGCTAGGTATCACGGCGTTGGGCGGTTTTTTCCACCTACTCGGATGTTTTTAGTTCTTTTCTTTATTTTTCTAATTTTTTTCCCCCGATACCAATTTGTTTAAATATATTTTTATTTACAAATTGTATTATCCGCTTATTTTTATACCAGTCGAGTCTAGGCATTAACATAAACATAGTATATATATAGGGTTTTGAAGACAGTAGACTGAAGAATCGTCACCAGCTTTGTCAAGCTCTGAAGCAGAGACGCCATCAAAATCCTGCTTTCACAAATTTCATCTGACAGTGTGGCTTTGTCGCTCGAAGAAAGGCTGGGATAGTATCGCACTTAAAAAAGCACAAATGAAATATGTATTTCCCTTATCTGATTTTCTCTACAATAGCCCCTGCTAGCAGGCATAAGTGTAAAATGAAAGGCATCATCCACTGCTGAACCTTATTTATCGTTCACGATAAGAGAGTCCACCATATATATATATATATATATATATATATATATATATATATAAAAACTCAAACACTAATATTCCATGGTTATAATTTAATACATTGGAATCGTAATCACGATCCAATCCATCAGACCTACAAATTCAAAAATCTTTATCCGCTTGAAAATATATATATATATATATATATATATATATATATATATATATATATATATATATGATCTATCTGTCGATATATATATATAATTATTTATTTTTTTTAAATTATAACATAAATATGTTATAAAATCACTACAAAAATAGCCATTTTATTTCAACACCTCCGGTGTCTTATCAATTCATTCCGTATACACCAATTGTATATATATGCATTTTTTGTTAAATCTGCTGAACAAGGAATGTTTTTTACCATTCATTTAATTTTCCGTGTGTCTTTATAATGTCCTTCTGCGAGGACTGTGAGTGCGAAAAAAAAATCTCCATAACGTTTATTTTCGTGTGCCCTTTCGTTTTTTGACAGGTTAGTTGTGAAGGATTTCTAGGATACAATACGTGATTTCTTTTCGCCGATTGGTCGGCTAACGTGGTGAAAATTCACTGGATGTGGAAAACAAAGAAGTTTTCTCATATTATTTTCTTATGTAATTGTGTTTTGTTTATTCCATACTTGATTTTAATTACGCAAGTATATTAATTTTTGAATGGGTCAATGAATATTTTGGCTTCTAATCCTCTTTTGCGCGCCAAAACAGTCTGGCCAAAATCTTAACTTATTTGTACGTCTATATCGCCATATTTCTTATAAAGTGTCTGCTTTCGCAAAGAAAAAAAATCATGTTAATTCCCTGCCCGATTTTATTTTGATAGAGGATATTTGAACTTATACTAAGTTAAAACTGAATCGATAATAACATACTGACAATTCCACAACTAACACTAACCTAGCTGATATATTCTAAAAATACAATATACAAGGTCTATCAAAATATTTTTACAAACTTTGGGAGCCGGTTTCCTCATATCAAAACAAGTACAAATCTCCATATAAACACATGTTCGCAAATCTATCATTTCTGAGTTTACGGTAGATGGCGAAGTGTTGCTTTGTAGACTAGGTTACATTTGTCATTCGTATACATTTGTGGCTAGTCTGTCTTCAGCTATTAACGCGTGTAGTAGTGAGTTAACTGAGAAGTATTCCGCTTAACAACGGCAGGATATTGTTATCGTGAGCAGACGGATATGATTTTTACATACGGCCGCGTGAATGGTAATGGACTCGAGGCTGCACGTCTGTATCAGATTTCGTTTCGAGACCGAAGGCCGCCGAGTCATCCAAACTTTACAGCTGTTTATCGTCGCCTTGCTGAGACAAGATTGGTGGCACCAGAAAATATGAATCGAAGAAGGCCGAGATCCGCTCGTACGCGTGACCTCGAAGAACACATTCTACAGGCAGGGACGATCTATGTATCAGTACACGTCAAGTGGCTGTAGCATGTTGTACATCTCATAGAACCGGATAGCTCCTCTATTCGTATCATTTGCCACGTGTTCAGGGTCTTTTCCTCCTGTAGGCGGCTGTCTGGTAGGTCCATTCGTTCATCCAGGACGTCTTACATGTGCTGTCTACAGGGACTGTATTTCAAACACACTTGACTGACCTTAGTTACAATTTCTGGGAGAGAGCGTGTAATCTAGCATGGTCAACAATCTGAACAAGGCCAGCACACTCAAGCTCTCGGTCACGATGACTCGTGACTTCGTGCTAGCACAGCTATCAACGATCCCACTGCTTTCGTCCACCCAGTTTCACGCACCATAAAAAACATACAACAAGGGCTGTATGGTTTTCAGGCACTTTCAAATTCTGCCAATGACGTCAGGAAGTCTCTTTCCTGACAAATTAAACGTGATGATGTTCGAATCAGGATTTCATGGCCAGAAAGCAAGCTATATATATATATATATATATATATATATATATTTGTGTGTGTGTGTGTGTGTGTGTGTGTGTGTTTTGAACAATAAAAAGTATTAAAAAATTAAAATCTTCAGACACACTGGGTTGTATATTAATATGCTTTCGTTTTTATCATTTCAGTTAGATACCTCGAGTACTTTCGGCCAACATGCCCATCATCAAGAGAAAAATTCTACTTTTTAGTAGCAGTGAACTACAGAAATTAACAACTTGATGAAGAAAATAACTTAATATTTTTTTATTTATTTTATATATCTATATATAAATTTATATATATATATATATATGTGTGTGTGTGTGTATTTAGGCAGCAATTTTTTATTGATGCATGTTTCATTAAATGATATAGACAAGTTTTGTCTATTTATTTTAAGTAAGTTCCTTTCATATTGTCTGATAAGCTTAATAGCATTATCATTAAAAGATGAAAGGAAATCACCATATTGATACATGTTTAAATCCAGTCTAAGCTTTCGGCTTACATAAGCCATTATCTAAGATGACAATTACAATTCAATATATCAAACAATACACAGACAAAACAATAATTATAGTCTGTTTTTGTTGCATGAAAAATTTCAAAGCAACAACAAACTCGTGGATACGAGACGCAGAAGCGAAAATCGCATCGCAGCTCGTGATGT